TGATAGTAGTACTTCGTAAAAATACAATCCCGTCACGCGACAGTTGTCAAGACAAAACACATCCCATGGTCGGGGACGAGCAAAACCGCGGTATACTTCAGGCACATTGATTTTTCAGTCATTTCATACTCCAATATTTGGCTTTCTCAGTTCGTCCACGCCTTCCGGTGTTTGTTGGGCCTTTTACTTGAGATTAACGGTACTGGACCGCTAAATTTGATGTTCTTGCAACACAGATCCTGATTGCACTTGTGAGTTCCTTCGACTCAGCTGGTTACTGTACCGCAACACAGTAATTCTTTCAATTGACATGGCGGAGTAGAAAACAGTTACTTTGGTCCTAAAAGATTATTGATTTGGGATGAACATCTTTCAAACTTCATCCCCACATGCAATCCTCGGTTAATCCAGTCAGCCATACACTTGAGGAGCATTAGGATAGAGTTTCACTCTCTTTAGAAATCTTCAGTAGTGTAATACACTTTCCCGTCGGGGGGTTGAACTCCCGACCCTTCGCAAAAAAGGCCTGTGTTACCACTGTGCCAACCAGCTCACTCCGGTTCTGTCCAGAATTACCAATTCATCTTTTTATTCAGTTACTGCGGCCCGAAAGTCAGCCCAGATCAATATAACTTATCCCACAGTACTACTGTGAGATGAATGCAAATTCAAGCGTTAACTGGAAAATAACAGGAGATATTTTGGAAAGTCTAAAATTTGTTCTCGCTTTGTGTGCTCTTGTTTTAATTACGTAATTATTGTTTATGATTCAGTTATTGCAATTAGCTAATCTTGAAATGCTCTAAAAAGCCTCAAAATAAATCCAACATCCCATTGAATAATACCCTCGAGGATCAGGGAACCCCATTTTCATTGGGTTACTCAGAAGTCCAGGTCTGATTAACCATCCCGAGTTTCCCACACTTCAAGTTGAGCGTCTATCATCTATTAATCAAGGTTTCCCCAATCAGGACGGTCATTTTGTTGCTCGGGTTGAACACACATGGCCCATGGTATGGACCATTTGCGACACCACTTTCTCTGCTGCTGTTTCAGATTTTCCTTTTGGTTTCACTAGTTTCCCATGAGAGCCGAAAGATACCCTATTGATTCGTGTGTTACTTGCGGTTAGTTCCAGACAAAGGCAATCCAAAAGATTAACTAAGGCCACTATAGACAGTGACTCATCTGCGTGTGCATTTGCGTACAGATTACAGTAGTCTGTCGGTGGTTATCAGTACACAAGTGAGGCTATGCGGCTCGATACTGCTGTTTATCGAATGCACCTAACTGAGCACCCATTCATCGGAATTTATTTATCAGCACACCTTGGCTTTAATGAGACCCTTGCAGATCCCTAAAACGTTTCAACGCGATCCTTAGGGTTTCGGCATGTTACGCAGCCACCTTTTCATCCTGCTCATCGCCAACTGTCATGTATTGGAGCCTTCTGGTTCTCCATATCAAGTCCCAGGGCTTTGGTACTTTGTCAAAATAAAATCATGAATGGAGTGTCCTCGTGACAATGAGGATTTCTTGTCACACTATGCTATGAAGTAAAATAAATATGGACAATACGCATGGAATTAGAACTCTTAGGTAAGCTATATATATTATGCAATATTCTACCAAGACCATTAGGTCACGTTTGTTGCGGTTAGTAGCATCTAACCCACTTGAAAAAATTTCGAATCATAGCACTGACTCTTTATTGGACTGGCTCGGAGAGATCACATGTTGTCGACGAACGCCACTGCTGTCCGTTTGCTGCTATATCCTTCAATATCTTCAACCAAACAGTTTTCAGTTCATTTTGCACAACCATTAGCCACGTTTCGGTTTAAGTTGCTGTCCTTTGGCTTTCCATTTGGATTAAGCAGTGGGAGAAAGACAGGAAGGTTCAAAGTGGAGTCGAAGAAAAAAAGGGGAATTTCAGTGGATTAGGTTTGCAAATAAATTGGGAAGATGCACGAATGCCACTGTTTACGACAGTTAGTCACATCATACCATTGATTCCAATGATCCCGAGGTCGCCATCCAGCGAGTGTTGTATTTCACACACACCTGAGTTCAGACTGTGTGCCAAACAAATCACAGTGTAATCTTGATAAAAAGAAAATGATTCATGATTGGATCGAGGGCATGATAATGCTAGGTTGCCCAGGCTAAACACGTGAATTTTTTAGTGTATTCACAATCGCAGCCTTCGCGGCTAGCCAAAGCCTGGCCCCAAAGGCAGTGAAGCGGCGTGTAAAAACCGCAGTTCATTGGGGGCCGGTGTCAAGTTCATCGGATCATACGCCTTTTTGGGGGGGTCAAACGCCCAAGGTGCCCAAAACACCTCGATGCCCAATTGAGCCAGTTACCACTGCCACAACCAGGAAGATGTGTGTGGGTGTGACTCGTACGCCCCCTGCAGGTTGGTTTGGAATCAGGATTTTTAGCCAACACCCCTAGGTAAGCTGCCATTGGTTCACCAACCTGTTTATAGCCCCATATTTTGGCTTTTCGTCGTCTCACTTTATTGGGAAAACATCTCCGCCACAGGAGGGCAGTAAGTAGGGTTCCCTCAACAGAAGCTATTTGGGACGTTTGGTTAAATGGGCACATTTCTCGGGGTGCAAGGGAAGGGTGATCAACCACAGCCCAAGACACCCACCCCAAACCATACTGATGCATTCGAAGACATTTAGGGAGCCTAACGCGACCTTTATGGCCGAGTCTCCTGTTTCGGTTTTAGTTTAACAAC